TAAATGCTAAAAATGTCAAAACGTATTGATATTATACCAAAAAAAATTGCATACATACTAAAATTTAACTAAAAAAAATTGCATACTAAAATTTAACTTATAAACATTGAGCAAAGCGTTGCAAAAAGATTATTTTGCCGTTAAATCTCTGACCGAAGTGACGATTTTCCATCAAAAACCTGTCAAGCTACATTGTGCAAACTTGTTGAAAACAACATTAAACTCGACGGTCATCGCCGTATGGGTGAAGACTTGTACATGTGTGGAAACACAGAGGTCGAGAGAAGGAAAAACCGATGTATTATGAGGTCGACAACACGGAAAGCTACGTATCGATTCTAAGTCGAAAATCGCCTGTACTTTTCGTATTACTCTTCCCCCACTTTTCTCACAGAAGAAAATAATATTTGAAATCCAAAAATCAATATTATATTATTAGAATGTAGAACGATTGCATTAATAAAATTATTTAATTTGAAAAAATAGTCGGATGAATTAGAAATAAAATTTACCGAACACCATGACTAATATACAATCATCATGTTGAAACGTCGTGAATGCTTTATGAATTTCCACGAATTCAATAATGCTAAAGTCGCGTGTGTATTTTCACGCCATCACAAAGTTAATTATCAAAGAACGATAGTCGCGTACACATCGTGAAAGGCATGCGCGACCACGTAAATCCCTATCGCGCCAACGTGGTAGTACCATTTGTGAACTGGCATACGGCACGTTCCAATGAATTTACTGCGATAAACGAAGAGCGAGTGTAACAAGAAGTAACTATAACGAACGACGTGCCTAGGCGATATCGCCCGTTGCATCCCTTTTGCTTCTCCTCTGCCCTCCTCTTCTCCTCCCGCGTTTACCGACGAGAGTCGGGGGAGAGTCGCAAACACGCGGCAATCGTAATGCACCCGGTAATTTATTTTCCGCCACCGGCAATTTTTCACGCGCGCATTTTTCAACGGTGCACGCGAGTTCAAAGAAACTAAAGTAAAATTCGTTCGTCCAAGATGCTCGTTTTATCCAAAAGGTAGCCTGCTTCCGCGTATCTTAATTTATCAGTGTCAATGATGTGTTGAAATATCTACGACGATATTGCTAACAACTCTGTCTCTCTTTCTCGATAGTGAGATTTCCGACTGTGCGTGCACGTGCTGTGTATGCGTGTATGAGACACGACATTCTTAAACATTTTTTTTTCATATCTCGCATAAGTCCCGTGATAATCCACGCGAATCGTAGAAAACAGTTTGCTGTTTCAAAATGTAAATACTATTACTGTCGTAATGTTGGAAAATCTCCATTATAATTTGAACTCATATCGCGTATATCTCTTGAATATTTCCGGAAATCCAAGCTGCTCTTTTTATTGGATTTGATTGCGCTTTGGATTTTGCCGAGTTATAGAGCGAACGTACGTGCGCAGAAACGTGGATAATTAATTAATAGGGAAATAAATCCTCGAAACGCGAACTGAAAGTGAATTATTTGCGGAAAAACTTGTTGCGAAATATGCAATTCATGTTTCAGGCGCAGTTAAAAAAAATATATCGACGAAAATAACGACTTATAGAATAATGCATATTATCCATATCGCGAACAAATGCATAACGAGAACGAGGTACAATGGAACTAAAATCCGGGACCAACAACGAAGTGCATGCATTAGCGCTTAAAGTCCCGCCCTCCCCTTCCCTCCACCGTCATATGCAAGCGCATTAGTGCGCAATTAATTCACCGGCGTCCATTGTATCGCGTTCTCTCGCGTATTAAGTCTATCGCTTGTAAATTCCAACGAGCAGGACGTTAAAATAAATCACTACGTCGACATCGTTGCGACGGATCGAAATCCTCATAAGAACGTGAACTGCCACGGCAATAGTATTACGTCATTGCATTAGTCATTGTCATTGTCATTGTCATAGTCATTATCATTGTCATTGCCATAGTTATTATCAATAGCGGTATCCGCGATACCTTTCGATATCCGCGTTCGACGTGATACAAGAATATACGCATGTGTAACACGGCGATACTTTTCTTCTGCCACTATGAAATAAAATGATTGTGATTTTGTACGAAATCTAACGATTCGTAATAAATTTCGACATCGTAATAATAACGTGATAATGAGGCACTTTGACCCATTATTCTAGGCCGACTCAAGCGATGATAACGAATACGTTCTTGCCTGCCCAAAGAATGGAAATCGATATAAAATAAGCAGCACGCAATGAGGGGGGAACTCTCAAACGAGCCGATATACATTACCATTCGAGAAATGAAGATTTATGGAAACTTGCGTTTCTCTTTTTCTTATTTTAGCGTATACAAAAAAATGAATGTGTGTGTGTTTTTTTCTTTTTAATAGAAATTAGTAGAATTATTATTAATAGAATAAATTTCTACTAATTTTTAAGAACTTTTTGATTAGGGAAGTTCTATTACAATAAAAACTTTTGTTGTGATAAAACTGCAAAAGATGTTCTCTTGTTACAAAGTAAAGTAATAACGCTCGAAGACAATTTCCTGTGCTTCTTCCCACGCCCATGATTCTATTGATTGCAACTATATACTGTTTATCCTACTTCGCCAAACTTCCCATAGCGCGACGCGCGACGTGATCATAATCGACAGGGACAATGTCGTTACACGAACTAGGGAGGGTGTAACGAGAATCGAGCCGTATTATTGATTAGATCCAAATATAGTTTGATTTCCCATTCCTGTAAAATTCCACTAGTCGTTCCACGCCCCAAGCGCGACGATCGAGTCAATTGTTGACATTCAAACGCTTTTGGTTCAAATATAACTCGGAAATATTCGTGGTGTTAAAATGATAGGTTTCCCGTTCTCAATCAGGCAGCAAGAGAGCGAATAAAGTTTGCGCATTCGTTTAGGTTTTTCCGTTGACAGCGGTAGACTAATGGTAAGTCAGTTTAATTAAAAAGTTATGGCGACCTATAAGCTCGGTTCTTAGCTTAGCGACGGCCAGCCGCGCAACTCGAAACTTCCTGGAGGAATATTAAAACGTAGGAAAAAGTAAACTTATGCCGGATCTGCATACATGCAAATTATCGAAAATATGATTATGCTAAACGAGCCAGCGCCGGTGTATTTTTAATACCGATGAGACTATCGGTATTACACATGGCTTGTAAGACTACGTTCGGGCAGGGCATCATTTAATGTAACGAAACATTCTTGATAAAGAATTTAGGAAAATGTAGGGAATTACCTTACTTTATCTATTTATTCGCTGGAACTGGACCAATGAAATAATCGTAATCAGAGGATAACTGTGATAATTAGACAATTCCGGTCTCGTAGCTACTCCATGAACTGATACGCACCGATTGCATATGCATTGCCTACAGATTGCAAAGCGTAATTGCTTAATTGGGTCACAAATTACAATTGGAATTTGTGATTATCATACTTAAACAGAATTTTCTAATCGATTGCTCCCGAAATTGCAAATTTTCGTCGCGAATCGCTATAGTAATTAAATCGCAAACATTACGGACCAGCGACGTCAATCCAATCTGCATCGACAGACAACTTTCTGCAATTCTGCAATATATCGAATGAGAATAAATACTTTCGACGAAATCTTGTTGCGCGCGAATACATGACGAGCGAATTTTCCACTGCTAATAGAACTGCGAGAGGAAGAGAGAGAGAGAGAGAGAGAGAGAGAGAGAGAGAGAGAGAGAACACAGTGAATAAGTTCTCTCTGCGTGAAACGCAAGTTTTGAGACTGCCGTCCGATAACCCTTTGATTCTACCTCTCTTATGTGTACCGCATGCCAACCGTAAATCAATTCTCGAAATTGTTTTCGCGTGCCCACACGCCTCCGTTCAGCTCGCTAAATTTGATTCGATGTGTACGTATTGGCGAGAACTACGAGGAAAGCTCGTGTAGACGATTCATAACGAACAACCGATTTTGTCCCGATAAATGCTACTGAAAATCGAAAAAGCATCGTCTGATTGGACCATTAACTCCAAATTGTACTGGCAAACAAATACATGAATAATGAATTATGGAAAAATCTGCTTAGACCGATTCGTATAAAGCACAATATACTGTATTTTCTACAATACTATGATTGTATGTTCTCGAATAAATACAGCAAAGATATTGATCACACACCCGTGATACTCGAATTTATCTGATCGTTTATAATTGGAGTGTAAGTTGCAACAATGCTGCAATATCGCAATATCAACTGAATTAATTCGACGACAAATCTTACTATGTAAGCTCGAGCGACACATTTTTGTTATTTGCAAATTCGCGAATTTTACTGTCTCGGGAATAATTAATTATCAACTTGGCCTCGCGACGTAAGCATTACTCCGGCTTTATACAAGTAATACGTACGTGTTGTTTAGCAAATAGGGTCCGACAAGTTCAACGCGCGCCACTAATACCTGGCCAGTTCCATTTAGTAATTGCTACCTAACACGCTCGTCCAACTTATTACTGTCTAGGCGCTGTCTACACTGTGGCGTTCCGCTGCACCACACCGACCGACTGCATGTATATTCATCGAGTATTGATTGCGCGTATGGACGGGACAGTAATGGAAATTCCATCGATTCGCGTTAAAGCGTTCAATGCGTTTGGTCCGTCAAAACACGCACATCGCGAAACAAGAACAATTATATGCGAATAACATTAACATAACCAATGATATTAATGTTAATAATCGTGATGTACGCCGCGTGAAATTATCGCACATAGCGGTACACCTTTAATTGCATAACAGTTAATTGCGGAAGTTTCGAAAATTTCACGAATTTCCAATTCTCCGAATCTCCGAATTTCACGAATTTCCTTTAATTAGATAATCAATCTCAATTTCCTTTATTCTAATTAACTAATTTATATTCTCTGCTTTTCTGCGAAAATCTGCAAACCTCTTCGAGACTTCCCTCTAAATCTCGTCTCTCTCTTAATTTTACTTGATGTCGTCTGATAATAGATATTGGAGCACGACTGGGAGTGGACAGCAGCAAGTCGTGACGGACATTCCGCGAGACAACAAGGCGGCGATCATCAACAGCATCGCCACGTCATACGCGTTGCAGAGGCCGAGGTACACCGCGACCACGATACCGCGAACATCGAAGATAGCTGTCGACGGTAAAACGAGATACAGCGAGACAGGAAAGGTCGACTGGCCGTATTACCAGACGTACAGGCAAACAGCGGAGGCGCAAAAGGCGCAGATCTATGAGGACATCCAGAGAAAGATTGCCAACGCGTCGAACGTGTCGAGTACAGGCTACTCATTCGCGAACAACGTCACCAACTCGGCGGATCAGCGCCAACATAGATTCAGAATGAAGCATCACGGATTGACATCCAAAGGCAAACGAGTTAGAACTCGTAAGTGCAATGGAAATTTTGAAATATCGTTTCACGTTCATTTTATTCACGTCCACAATTGAGCTTTTTTAATATTTAATAGTTAAATTATATAATTATATTATTTGATATATTTTTATCTAAATGTTGTAAAAGCAGTCGATCATCTAAATGTTATGAAACCAATAGATCAAACTAATTAGATAATTCCTGTTTTTGAACCTGTATCATTATATTCTACAATTATATATAATTAATTGTGTTAATACAAGTAATTATATGTATAATTGTATAATTAATACAATATATATATATATATATATAAAATTAATTGTAGAATATAATGAATGAATGAATGAATGTCACCTAATAAAGGCGGCTTCTCTCTATTCACATAGCAAAATACAATATACAGCTGACAATATTTTATATACTGTTGTGGCACGATCGAAACCACTAATCCGATGAGCGACCATTACGGACATAATTCGAAATGTTTTTGGAAACCTCCGTGGTCGGAACCTTTGCTTTTGCTATCTAATTGAGCTCTAATTAATCCTTTAAACGGCAGGGTGCAACGAAAGGTCCGGACAAACCCTCGGTGCAGTTTTCCATTGATGGTAGCTAATGCAAGAGCCAAGCGCTCTCAATAGCCATATTTCCCGCGTAAATGATCAAAGCGCGCTTCCGCGCTCTTCCTCTCCCCCTCACACTCTTTTCCGCCTCTCCCGTTTGCGTTGTATGTATCCTCCACCCTGTACTTTCTCGCGTTTGTCCACTGTTCCGGTTTCCGTAATGCAGATTTTTCTTCATATACAAGAGTCTCATATGGATCTGATAATACATCGGTCGAGCTGATATAATAACCCACAGGTTGTAGTAACTGATTTGATTAGTTTTTATTTATCAGACTTACATGTATTAAAATTATAAGTTAATATTTCTGCCCTTGCAAGTTATCAAATTTCGGTTATTCTCTTTAAAAGAATTCGCGGTCGATCTCAATCCAAAGCTTAACGAAACATAATGATTCGTCAAATTTTTAACTGAATTAGAATTAATATCAAATAAATTCTGATTTTTTTTTAAATATCTCTCTTGAAAATTTATGAGAGAATTTTATTCGAGCAAAATTTAAAGCTAGGAAATTTTCTCGATTTTCCTTTCGGTCACCTATCTCGAAGATCATGGTTATCTACCTCGAGGATTTCTTCGCACGTTTCAAGATTAGACGTGGACTCGCACACTCGCTCGAGCGGAATAATTGCATTCGTGATTCCAGGTGCACCGAGAGATTGCAAGGTCGGTGATTGGGGCCCGTGGAGCGCGTGCAGTCGCAGCTGCGGAGTGGGCGAAACCCAGAGGACGCGGAAAGTCACGATAAAGCCGCGCCGAGGTGGCAAACTGTGTCCGCCGCTAAAGGAAACCAAGTGGTGCGGTAGCATCAATCCGTGTTCGGAGAGCAAGCCGATCATCGATTACCATTGGTAGTCATCGTCCGTGTCGGTTCCCTTCCACGAACACGTGTACCAAAGTGACTCGCTCACGGACGAAAGATCGTGTAAGTCAAAGAGACAGGCAAGACGAGCGAGAAGCGACTTATGCGAAAAATGCACGCTGGGACGCAAATATAATTAAATATGGGAAATTCGATAAATGGAAAATAATATAGGTTGAAAAAAATATCTTTTTATATCTTTTTCAGTAGAGAGATTCATCGCAACGACATGACTGTTGTATTTATGGGACATGTCATGTCATGTTTTAGAAAGAATAGCGATCCGCGTGGTTTGACAATATACATTACAAAATTCATAATTTCATTCAAAATTCATAATTTTATCTAATATTTTAAGATAAAGGAATTAATAACTGTTGCAACAACAACATACACACATTGGTATTTATTCATTGGTATTCATACAATGAAAATATCGTATGCTTCATACAGACGACTAATGATCATGCACGACGTAACTCGATCTCATCGCTATTAAATTCTGTTCGATATAACGAGTGGCCAGTATAACAAGGAAAGACATAGAGTCATGTAATTGAACAGTATGATATATTTCATTACAATTAGTATTCGCAACCATTGCATATTTTCGTGGCAAAGCGGAAAAGCATTATCATATACCGCGGCTTTATTTTATTCTCTTGTATTTATTATCGTTTGATGTACATTCGTCGCGCGATGCGTGTGTGTGTGTGTGTGTGTGTGTGTGTGTGTGTGTGTGTGTGTGTGTGTGTGTGTGTGTGTGTGTGTGTGTGTGTGTGTGTGTGTGTGTGT